TTGGACAATAGCCTGTTTCGGTGAGCAAATGGCTCTTTGTCATAAAAATATTTATGAGCAATTAATACACCCTTGATAACGTTTGCTATAGTTAAAACGTTACTCAACATTGTTTTCCAAGGTAGCCACCTCTGGCAACTTGTTTACTGAAAGGCTGTCAGTATTTGGTACCATTTCAATATTTGTGTATGTAAGTACATGGATCTCCATGACATAAGGTGTTATCAATATTTCTCTGAAACCATGAATTGACCTAATCTGGTCGATTGAAGTGATGTATATGCCTACTTCGGGCCTATAGAATGCTCATGACCTTGATGGATGCCTCCTCAAATAGAAGTAATCAAAATAGATTGGCAAAAGCAATCAAAGAGAACAAAAAAGCTGCAAAACTCACCTGTACAGACCTCTTGGTTTACTAGAGTCTTTTCAATCGAGACCACAGAGAGCGTGTGCAAGTTTCATTAATCATAAGAGTTGCTGACTGGCTAGACTTTGAGTCTATGATATGCAAGTCGGCAATAGGCTGTTTCTTGGTCAAACCATGGATGGATGGAACCAAAATTTGGAACCAAATTCTCAAATGCTTTCAAGAATATGTGTGCTGCCTTTGCTAACCTTCCAGCAGGAACTAAAAGACCTATATCCAATGGTAAGAATTTTTTTAAATTGTTGGCGGAGAATTGTCTTTACAGACTAATGTGGCTGGAAATATAATTTATGATAACTACTATGCAGTGCCATGCTTCAACAATTTTAACACTGAAGATGTCACTACCCTCCATCACAGCCACTTCTGTTAATTGTTCTTTTATGTTTTGGTTTTGCTGTTTTGAGGTAAATGGAGCCACGATAGTTTTGAAATATGTTCTTATCTTGTGGTGGTCTTCTGTCTGTTCCTTACTTCTTTGCTCTCCTATCCTAAGGAATGTGCAGTTTGAGAAATCAAGAAACAAGAATGAAAGAACCCCTCTAATATCATAGATCAAAGATCATTGATGAAGTGTATGAACAACAAGATGGCTTGTGGCTTCACTTGAGATTGAAGGTGCAAGATGGGAATACTCTGATCCGGTCCCTTCAGCCAAGTGTAGCATCATGATATTCCTGTTTACACATTTAAATTGCTTAGTTTGAGTTTCTTCCATTTCTTTCTGTTTAACAGTGCTCAATCTTAACTTTTTAACTTACTAGTCCTTGGCATCATCTAGTAGCCAAATGTAGGCTCAAAGTTTTGATCTTGCTCCTTCCCCACTGACATCCACAAAGGCAAGTCTGAACCAAGCCCTGAATACTAATTGCTACTGTACTTTTATGCAAAAAAAGTTTTAAATTTGTCCATAAGTCATGATTAAAGGAGATACAATCAAGTTACAAGAAAAGGTACTTGTTGAAGAGTAGTAAATTAGCATGCTTAAACTATAATGACAGGTTGGTTTATTCAAATCTTGTTTATTTTTAGGAGTACTGTGAATCCTACACAGTGATCAATTGTAGTGGAACTCAACAATGAACCAACTAGCAAGAGACACAAAGGAAATTGCTTGAGTCTTCTCTCTGCTTGACCTCTAGTCTACATCATATGTAGCTTCTAATTTAAAAAATCACTAAGAATTGGAAGTTGCATGCAATGTGATTTAATGATTGAATGATAAAGTTTGAATTCAATGGGTATGTTCATACTAGCATTGTAAGTAGACCTTAAGTATGCCATGAGCTCAAGTAGACTTGAGATCACATGTTTACTAATGATTGTGATGGTTCATACTTAGAATTCTAAGTATACTTCAAGCAACAAAACTGTCAATCAAACCACGCAGCAAGTATCCAAGCATGTGCGTGAGTGCGCCAAAAAAATGTGTGTGAGTACACCAATCCTCAACCCATGCATGTAGTAGTGTACATCATGCAGCCTTGAAAGATCAAATTGCTTTTCTTGTCTGGCTTTTATTTTTCTTACTGCAAAGACAGCAGGCCTTGCTACTTCACCAAGCTTATCACTTTCTCGTGGTGGAGGAAGAATTTCAAATGAGATGAAAAAACCAACGACAGATTATGTTGATGTTTCTAAGCCAAATGAATCAACAAAATGCGCATCGAAGATGAAGAGCTTGGTCTTGGCCACGTCCACAAGACTGCTTTTGTAGCTTGTTGGCAAATCCATTGCTGAATTTTCGTTGAAAGGAGCATGTTAGAGTGATGCAGGAAACCTTTGAGTACTTATACGACCCTATGAGGGTGGACTAACAGAAGCAGCATAAGAGGTTTAGAGTTCTGGTCAGCATGGAAGAAAGGGTTGGTCTTCCACTCTGGCGATTAGCGACAGGTAACGGCTATAGAAGTTGTGGATTGCAATTTGGCCTTGAAAAGTCAACAGCGAAAAATGTTTGCAGCGAGTTTGAGCAAGCCATTTTTAATTTGAAAGACCGCTTTGTAAAATTCCCTTTGACAACTCAAGAAGTCCGGAACAACATTGAGGAGTTTGAAGAATCTTATGGAACCAAGCAGGCTGGCTTTTTGTGATCTCCACCATACTTGATGGAGCTTGTTCATGCTAGGATGAGCACTGCTTCAAGTAGACCCAGGCCCTATACCATCCCTCCGGAGATGGCAGTGGCAACGTCCCCAGTCAGCAGGCTGGAAACAGCTTAATTCGAAATACAGGTGGCCACTGTGATGTTCCCAGGAAGTACTCACCTGTGGGATTGCATGACCAGGAGTCTTGGAAATCCATATGTAAGATTGCAAGGAAGACCTCAAATTCTGCAGTCCTATTTTGACTTGTTGTATGTGCTTGGCCCAAAAGCCCTGACCAATTGGCTTTAGGGGTGCCCTGTCAGGATCACTATCCTAACAGAAATAATAAGAACAAAGCAGAACATGGGCAAGTAAACATCTTAAGTGACATGACAAGTTTTACCATTATATGATCTGTCTGTCAAGCTGCTAAAGACATGGAATATTGTACAGAAAACAATGCGTCATGTTTGTTGTGTAGTCATTTGAGATTTCACTGTAGTCAAGATCCTAAAGAATTTTTCAGTTTTGTTGGCTGTGGTTGGAGTGGGCTGGCTGCATTGCCTACGTTGTTGGGAATTGCAGGTGTTTTGTCCCTATGCTCGAGCCTATTGGTCGTGCAGACCCCAGGACAGCTACAAATGCCTTGGTTCCTCCAAGATGGCTGTAGTGGACATGAAGCAAGGAAAAGGCTGTTTCCCCTCTGCTGTAGTGAAGGCTGCTGTGCTTTGGGGTGGCATGAGAGCACATTGCTCATCTGGGTCCCAGGTGATACTGACTTCCAGGTTGTCACTAGTGCGTTCTGTTTCCCTTGAGGTCAATAATATATTTCCCCTCACTTAGTTGGATTGTTGTTAATATTGATACATTGGAGAGGCGCAAGTACTCGATCACAGGCTCATGTAGGTAATCATTCAGTGTTTGCATTATGTGAGCACATAGCATACAACAAAATTCAAAACTGTTCAAGTAATATTTAACACTTCATTCTTCGGGAATGCACATGAAGGCATTCTGTTACATTTTTCTGTGTCCAAAAATGTCCATGACTCTTAGACGTTAGTATTGCCCAAATTTCCACTTGGTGAAATACCTGTTGGATAAAAAGTGGCATTGCAAGTAATGGACAAGCCGCCTAAATAATTGTTTTTGGGTGGAGTACAAAGAATATGGTAAACAAGTTGTCATATTCTATAGCCTGATGTCTCTCTTTGTTATCACTGATACTTTGTACTTGATAATCTTGGCATGAAAGAACATTGTTGATCAAAATGTTCTTGGAATGGCTGAAAGCATCAAACTCACTGCTAAAATTTGTCCTCAAGAATATGATAGTTCATAATAGCGAATTTTTGTCTATGCTGCTGTTGGGATGCTACTAAATCAGTTCAAATGGTACTTTTCAAGTAAATCCAGTGGTTAGTTACTTAACATCAACAGCTTGGCTTAAGATTGAAAGTTGCACTTAAAATTAACTCAATCGCCATCTCCTACCCAATGATTACAAATTATACTCTTAAAGTAAAACCAGTAGTTAGGTTACTAAAGATCAATAACAAGACAATAACTCAATTGCTATCTGGTACTCAATGAGCACAAATTATCAGTGAAATTATACTTATTAAGTAACACTGAAGTGCAGCTTTCTTTCCAGCATATAATGAATATCCGATGAAACCTGTTATTTTGTGGAACAGCACAACTTCAAAGTGTCACTCTAAAGCAAAAGCTTCAGTTTGATTAAACAAGACAAAAAATATTTATCTTATTTGGCTTTCTCTTTATTATTGTATTTCTCTTGAAGTTTCTTTATTGTTTCATTTCTCCACTATTTTCACAATTAGGGTATCTCTGGTGTTTGGTGCTTTCCTGCCCTTTTTCAGTCTTTCCAAGTTCCCCTTTATCCACTAATTAGCCAGCCTAATTTTATACTGTTTTTATTCACGTTTAATACCCTTCCAGTCAAGGGTCTCTCTTAACCCCAATCTGAGCAGTGCACAGCCCAGTTCTTATTAACTTTGTGGTGGTCCTTAAATGGAAGGAAATGGCAGTAGCTTACACATTTGCAAGATTTCAATCAGGGAATCACAATACTTTTTGCCCGAAAATTTCTTACTCTTACCTAATCTTGTTTTTCTGATTGTTGGTCATCATCCCTTTCCCACGCCTGTTCTTCCACAAAACAAGGAGTTTGTGCACCTGACGACTGAATTCTTGCCTGCTCCCATCGTTGTTGGTTTAAATCCCTTGTCCTCTTTGAATCTCTTGTTCAGATCTTCCATTGCAGAATTCGCAATGACTTGTTTTCTTGAGGCTGTGTTACACCTAAATTTTGGCATTTCGGGGTACTAAGGATTTGGGTTACATTATCTCAAAACTTACTGAGCTAAACCAAGCAAAACCATATATTTTCTGAATCTGCAAGAACTAAGCATCAAATTGAAGCAATTATGTTATAACAAACTTCACAGTTCCTCTTAGTGTCAGTAAACTTTAGTATATGCACAGTAACAAACTCCCCAGGTTCTTTTTCCATATTCATTCAAGCCTGCTAGATCTCTCACAAGTTCCTCTCGATACTCTGCAATTGCAAACTTTTGAGGACGCTTGAGTGCTTCGTTGTCAGGGTGCTCTATAGGATGAAGTTGAAACAGAATGTAACTGTTGACAATATCTATGTTGATGATCTGGTTAAACAATGTTTTCCACCACCTCATACACTTTCGAAGAGCACAGTTCTTTGGAAGAATTTGATCTGAATGGTCAACTGCATTCATATAGTTATTATAATGTTCAATTGCTTTAGGCTGTTTTACATTGATATTTCTCCACACATTGCCCACTTTCTCTTTTCTAGCAACCATTACAAAATCTTTGGCATTGTCAGTTGAAGAAAGAACTGTGACTGGTCGGTTGTCCTTCCACTGCTGAGCAAGGCAGACTCCCTCTCTTTCCCACCTCATGCTTCCCGGGGCTTTTCGTCATGCCCATTGTCCTTTTTTCGTTGTCTCAGGGAATCCCCCCTGTTCTCAGCAGCTGTACCTGTGGCTGGAATCAAAACTTGAAACAGATTTTTCACAAGCTTCACAGAAGTATAAAAGTTATCAAAGTACAAATGAGATCCCTGGTTCCTCAGAGGAGCAACAAGTTTCATGACTACGTCATACTGTAACCCATTAGGACTTACCTCCTGTTGTGCATTTCTCCCTGTGTATCCATCAAAGTCACAGATGTATCCATTCAAACTATCTGCCAAAACCCACAGCTTTTTGCCCCACTTTGTTGGTTTGTTTTTTATATACTGCCGAATTCCAGACCAATGTTCTGATTTTACCTCTCATCAACAGCCACATGTTGAAAAGGTTGGTAGAGATCCTTGCATTTTTGCTTGAAAAACTCTAAAAAGCTACGCACCTTTCTCAATTTCTCTTCCTGATCTTCATCTGGATCAACAACTGAAGCATTGCCATAAGTGCCTTGAATTGGTCTTGGGACATAATACACCATGCCCACAACCCATGGTATAAAGGTTTTGTGCTCCAATATTGGTGAAATGAGCTAACATGTAACAGGCCACAGTATAAATGAGGGCAATCAATTTTTCTATTTCCTCAGAAGAAGTTTCAACCCAGGCACCTTCCTTGTCACCATAGGAGGGTTTGTCACCAATGGCCCCTCCATCCATAGCTATTTGTATGGGTACCTCTTCCCCTACCACTTACTGGCCTCTGCTGAGGTTGTCTCCTACCTCTTCCTGGCAGTCTTTCTTGTTCCTCTGTGGACACATCAGAGTCACTTACCTCATCTTCAGACTGCTCACTTGAGTCACTATCAGAAATCATAGCATCCATCTCTGAATCATGCTTGCTGGAAAGAAAAAATATGTGAAATGAGTTTTAGAGAATTTGTAAGGGACAAAACTGTAACACTAACATAAAATGAAAGGTTCAGCAGCTAATAAGCCATTGTTGCACCAAAAACAAAAACAAATCAGGAGAGCTAAAATTTGCTATTTAGATCTTACAATGTTGTCCTTTGATCAAAGGTCTCAAACTGGAGAGATCATTACTGATGATAAATAAATCAAACAAAAAGCTTCTTCATTCAAAATCTTATTATGTTTACTCTTTAGTGCTCGATAAAATACATATAGCGTCGTTTGTACACTGCTAGCAATGAAGTAAAAAACAGAATTACAATAAATAACTCGATCAAGCCCAAGATTTTTCTGCTATTCATAAAACATTCCAACAACATTCCAAGGTTTTGTCCATGTACAAATGAAACAAGTAAAAGGAATATTATGTGTCAATTCCATAAGAGGAAGAAAATATTATTTGCAAATTCTTTGAGCACTAGAAAATGCTAAAGAATAACAACATAACCATGATATTTCTTTCCGTCTTTCTTCTTGTGAACACGTGTGGAGGTTCAAGTTACGCACGGCGTGAAAAAAATCATCTGATTGTATGGCACCCAAAATTATGGAAAGAAATGAATAAAACAGGTCCAGAAAGCTTCCATTTCCATCATTTTAGTTTACTAAAGACTAGTAGTTCTGTTTTTCACAAAAAGATGGGGGGAAAGTGCAAAATTCAGGCTAAGTAAAGGCTAAATTACAATGCACTCCTATTTCATCATGTTGTTTACACAATTGCTTACCTCCATTCTCTCTCTGAACCACGATTTCCTTCGAGTTCTTGGTCTAAATCAAACTCTTCTCCACTCGAAATTCCACCAGTGTTACTGTCAAGATCTCTTTCCGCATCACTGCCATCTCAGGCACAAATTTCAACTGCTGCTTCAGCTGTGAAAGTCATGCATGGACGCTTGTTCGAAGATGTCATTTTGAATAGAACCTTGCTTGTCACACCGCATATGCTTAAAGTGAATTTCAACTAGCCAATGAGATCTATGGATTCCACAATGGATTCTTTTTGATTGACTACATCCATAGTTTATTTTTAGTGTAAAAACAATGATGTAATGTTAAAAGAGCATTTTAATAAGAAATACGTCATCATGCCACATGGCACAACATTTCGGGGCTGTTGTCACCAAAGGGTTAAGTTGACTTCATTGTACTGAATAAGTATTTACCATCCAGTCAAGAAGTAGGATGAAACAGGTCACCAAATTTGAACTCAATTAGTTGAAGTAGGACTTCTTTAGCACAAAATAGACCCAATCAGTATGATTGTGAACTTAAAAAGTCTGCCAACAGTAAATCAAAAGCTAAAATTCAGAATGAAGCGTTTGTGTTCCTTTTGCTTACCAAAATATGGCTAAGAAGGTATTAGTTGTCAATCAACGTTTTCCTTAATAAAAGCGTGTTGATAAATTGAAGCGTGAAAAGTTGTCCTGAATATTATATCCTAAAATGTCGCATATGTCAAGAAATTAAACAATACAGCATTTAAGTTGTATTGATGGCAGCATTTTTGGTGAAAATTGTGCATCCGTTGATGTATTTCAACTTAGTATAAACACAGCCTCGATTGCTGTGTGTTATCAACAACCTCCAGGACAACTTGCAATCTGACAGAAACAAATATCTCAATGGAAACTCGTTATTTCTAGCTCAGTTTAACCTCACATTTAAGTCAGAATTTACAACTAGTAAATAAATTACGGTATCAATCCTCATTCTAATTTACCAGAGCTCTGTATTATTCACGCTTACTTTGGAAAGTCGGAAAACCCTGCTGCCACTGTCGCATTGAATTCAAGGTTTTAATATCCATCCTCATGACTCAAAGGATTAGTTTTCCCTCAATATAAATGATATATTTTCCCTCACTTTCATTGGATTGTCAATAATATTGATACACTGGAGAAACAAGTACTTGAGCACAGGTACATGTAAGTTTATAACTGTTCAGCCTTTGCACAACATTGAACACACGACAAAATTCGAGACTGTTCACACAATATTGTGTCACTGTTCAAGAATGGATGTGAAGGTGCATATGACCTAATTTAGTGCACGAAAACTCTCACCTTAGTATTAATTGCCTAAATTTCTACTTGATGAATACTTCTGGGACTAAAAGTGACATTGCAAGTAAAGGTTAAGTCGCTTAGATAATGGTTCAGGTGGAAGAACCAAGAATATAGTAAACAACTTATCATATTTCACAGACAACAATTTGTTCCAACACCTCTCGACGTGGCTCTAGCTTTATTTGACCCCTAAAAGATACCACTTAAAATGAAATAGGCTCAATTACAAGCTGCTGATAGGAAAGGAATCTGTGCTAGTGGGCCTGACTCAAAAGACCTGCAAAAAGTGAGCCTAAAAACAGAAATATGAGGATTTTTCCATTATTTCCTCAACTACACCCTAAAAGATACTTTTTCAGTTAAGAATAGTGGTGTTTCATCCTGTACACCCTAAGTGATACCAGAATCCTTGATTTAAACCCATAAGTGAGATGATGAGCATCCCTGACCTTTTCATATGGGGTATAAATTAATAAAGAAACAGCTTCTCATTGCCAATGTTTTCATTAAGTGAGGGTTTTAGGTCACTGATCAATTGGGTCTCTTTAATTTAACATTGCAACCCTCACTTAATGAAAATGTTGGCATTGAGAAGATGTTTCTTCATCAATTTATACCGGAAGTATTAACTATCTGAAGTATCCATTTTGTTATTTATTTTTAATTGTCACCAGTGCCTCATTTTAGTTTTAAATTTATAATATTTTGTTAAAGTTATAACCGTCACTTCTTATGATGTATGCTGTAAAATACGAAACATCGAGTTAATACAGTTAAGTTTTTTAGACCATGCATTGTCTATTTGTAATGTTTGTAACTGCTGTTTGTTTTCTTTTCCTTCTGAACCAGTTTAATTATTTTCTCAGTTAAGTAAACTTTTTCAGTCATTATTAAATTACTGATTAATCTTCAGAGTGAGTTTCCTGACAAAAGAGAATTACAAAATAGCCTACCTAGTTCCAGTATGCTAACTTCCACACAATCTTTTGGCCCAACCAGCCACAGCAGAGTATTAGGGGCCACATCTTGGGTACCACTCCGCTGTTTGCCTTTTGGTGTTGGGTGTGGCTGGCCTTTTGCCCTGCGCTAAGTTAACAGCTGGTGACTGTGACGCGAGTTGTAGGTATTGAGACATCTGGGGAGACTTCTGGAGGTGCTGAATTGAGGTACTTTCAGCTCCTAGAATCCTGAAAAAGTATAAGATAATCATGGGTGACTGTTACTTCCATTTGCATAGCAGGAAAATGCTACTGTGGACAGAATACAAAATTGTTGCTCAGCTGCTTCCATGAGCCACGAACCATGGGCAATTATTTTTTCTCATTGTATTGAAAAATTTCCTTTTGCACTGCAACAGCACTCACCTCTCTCCTTTTGAAGATTTGTGGAATGGAAACAGGATTCTGACTAAATGCACAACCTATCTTGTAAAATTGTCGAAATAAATGTAATGACAAAATAGAAATCCCACCGTCAAAGAAACTTCTTAGACTTCCCTTTGAAAATCTTGTGTTCAAATCGTTCCATTTGTTTGTGATGTAATAGTGTATGCACCAGTGGTGTGTGAAAGAAGCTGATTGGCTGGGAAAGTTTTCCAAGGCTGAAAAACCAGCAGCCACATATATGAAGTGTCTCCTAGACCTTCAACTTTTTTGTATCATTAGCTTTATCTTAACAGTTCATTCAGGGTTCAAAACTAAAGTAATACAAAACATGATTCCCAGATGCAGTTTTATTCTGCATTTTTCTGTTCCTTTGCATTCAAAAGTTGGAACATTTTAACTCGGCACTGGTTTCTTTTTGGGAAATTCTATTGCTGGAAAACACAGAGACAGAAGGTTAAAGGAGTCGGTATGTGTTGGAGTTCTAACTGGGTTTTGTGAAGACGGTGGTAAGAAGAGCACTCCACTTACGAGAATGTCCGTCAAGAGAACTTCCACTGTATCCATTTTCATCTCAATGAACATGAAGCAAAATATTTTCGACCACACTAGTGTTTTTGTTTTGTTTTCACCTGTCCTCGCTAATCATGTATTTTTTGATGGGGTTTCACCTATCGTCCACACTATAATGACCAAAAATGCTGACGATGTTTTTTCCAAAATCAGCAAACAACTGGAACATGAAGCAAATGGTAAGGAAATCTATAACTTCTAAACTAATTTTCTAGAAAATTACTGTTCCAGTTTACTTTCAACCTAAATTTTGAGAATGCTTGGCTAAATGAAATTAGAAATGGTAGGGAAATTCCTTTCAATATCACTTTTGGCCATGTGACCATACAGTTGATTGTCACACCTCAATGGAGAGCACCAGTTATGTGAAAAACTAGCAATTTGCGATCTAATGTTGTCAATGTTAAGGGTGATAATAAATCTTGTCTTTAAAGGCAGAAGAATAATCCGGATGGATGCCTTGGATAAGAAAAGAGTGAAGAGCAAAACAATTGACGACAACAAATTGGAGGTATAGTAGACCACAAAACCTCCTCCAATATGCGCAAGGTATGCTGGTCGATAGAGTCTTAAACTGCTTTAAATCCTTTAGGAGCTGTAAAACCTACAGCAACTGTATGGCTCTACGACTAGCATAGAGAGTACAGAATTGATAAATTTGCTCATAATTTGTGAACTAATAAACTCTATGTAGGGTGTAGATCATTAACTCATAAACTTTTTGTAGAGTGTAGAGTGTAGAGAGAAAACAGTATAGTACAGTTCAGGTAAAACAATCAGCACTAAATTGAAAACCAATGTGAGGAGTAGAGACCATAAAATAGTGTCCTCCGTAATGAAAAATGATAACACTAAACATTCCCAGGGCACTTCCATGACCTCTTGCAGTTCTTGAGTTTAATTTAATGATCCAACCTTAAAGAACCCTAAAAACCCAAAAAGAAGGCCATGCACCTCCTAGAATTATAAAAGAAAAACACAGAATGCTACTAAACTTGGAGAAATCTAGAATAAGAGAAAACACACAGAGAGACCACCCCATCATTCTGTACAACGGTAAAGACATATGTTATGAGGAGCCTGCTCATTTAAACTTCAAGGCTTCAGCCAGGTTACCAAGCTCACTGGGTATTATCGATCAGAAGATAAATGTGTTTGAGGACTTGTATTGACTGTAGGTAGATCTTTGGCTGGGTGGCTTAAGATTTTTCAACAAAGAATTCAGTGCACTCTATTATTGCTCCTAGATTATTTTAGAACCTCTTTTTGAAGCAATTTGGTTTAGACACCCCAGTCATTTCCTCTTTAGTTGAGAAGGGTAAAAGTAAACTCGATTCCTTTTCTAGAAATAAAATCCATGTTATCAATATTTTTCTTCCAGTTCCTGTGGAAATGCCAAATACATCACATAGCATTTCCCAAACTTGGATATCTTCTAAGTCTCACTAAAGTAAAGATAAATTGCTCTTTGGTTGTCAACTTGGCCAGCTCTTGCCTTTTCTGAAAAATAAAAAAACTAGGTTGAATCCCATTATCTTGTTATATGATTAGGGGTCTAGTTCTGTTACAATACCAATCAGCGAGCGCAAAAATTACTATTCACTTGTGTCATATATAAAAACTTAAAATATTTACCAAACTATGTGCTGCAGAGACATCCTGCTTGTTTTTTTGTTATTGAAGGGAGCACATACCTTGGCATTTCACAATTTGAATTTATACATTTAGATTGTGCATCCCCGTTAGGTGTCCCATGCGCTCCTCGCTTGGGACACTTATGAAAGGGGGAAATCGATCGGTTAACTTCTAGTATGGACTTCGAACTCGGTCAGTAGAGTTATTAATTAATTTCACATTTTTAATACCCCAAGGGGGGATGACGGTATAGTTTTCAGGCGGGGTGTGCTTTTTTACATTTTTTTTCCAAAAGGAGGGGTGCTCGCTAAAAGGGCTGGTGGCTGCTCCTTCGGAATGTGATAATTGGTATGAGTTAGAGGAATGAAGACACTCGAACTACAGCTACAAAAATTTCCATTTATTATTATAACATTTTATTTTACATGCATTATTTAATGAGTTCTTGATTTACTAAATTTTCATTATCTTCATTATGTTTATATTGTGTTCAATTTTCTAATTAATTTTTTATCACAATATCCTCTTTGTGTTCTGTAAAAGAAACAGAAATAGAAGAGTATGGATCAGGTTTCTGTAATTCTATTTTTCCTTGTAATCCTATGATATGATATAAAATAGAAAGTCCATTATCCAATATCAAGAAGCATCGCAAACAGTTACTAATTACGTTTCAAACTTGCATTCCGTCACTTACCACGGCTAGGTGATTGACAGTAGTAGCCAGGTTGGGAGAGGGGTGTTGGCTGTAAAGAGGCCAAACACCAGCCTAAAGGTTCCCCTCCCCCATTGCCTGGCTAGAAAAAGGTTCAGTCCACGTGGTGTAATTTGGATGATAATGGGCGTTGCTTGGGACTGAATATACTGAGAGGTATCAAAACCACTTGTTTAACCCCTAAAAGGTAGGATGAGCACCCCTCATCCTTATTAAAATGGGAGTCCCCTCAGACATACCTGTGGATGATTTCATAAAACAAAATTAACATAAATCAGCCTTCATATGCTAGATATGTCCATAAATCAAGGTACCAAACCATATGTATTCTGTAGAACCACAGAGTGATGTGGTAATACTAGTTTGTGTTGATCACAAGGTCAAAAAAGTTTAAATTTAATAATTACACTTCTGAAGCCATCGAGTGTTCATGCAATACAAAACATTTCCCCAGAGTATGATGTTTACTATTAGGCAGAAGAGAGCTGTCATTAAGTTTCATTTTGGTGCTTCACTTTCTCACCAACACTTGATTTTTATGTTATTTTAAGTAGAAGAGATTACATAAGACCATTCCTGGTATTAATTGTGAAAAGTAACAAGTCATGACCCCAAATGACAGTTAATGAAAACTTGGTATTAAGAACAAATGAGTAGCCATTCCAATCCATGTTTGACTGAAGCATATCTTTTGCACAAAGTTAAAACACTTTAAAGCAAGTGTCAATGTTTGAAGCAGCACAGACTTATTTAGCAATTGCCAACCACATGGGTACACTTTATCAATGTCACAAAATTAATGTGTCTAGTACTTTTCAAGTCGTGAACTTGCAACTAGATCACTGAAGCCTTGTCATACCAAATTAGTTTTACTGGGGTTCTATTAAGGCTTGTTGCTACAGTAAATGTTTCATCACTCTCAGTTAAAAAAACTGTACTCATTAAGACTGTGTGCCATGTCCATTAGTGATGAATCATCTTTGAGGTCTTCCCAGTCCATGTCAATATCAACATCTTCCATTAAATCTATGTCAAGTGCTGCAACTAGTTCAACATCTCCGAAACACTGACTGATAATGTTAAGAATAGCAATTGCATGTTCTTTCTGCCACACTTCAACATAACGGAAAACATCCTGTACATCAAAAATTTTGTGGCAATTTTCCAATACTTGTGCAATGAAGAAGTCTCCTAGCTGAAGAGGCACATTTGGACAGCTAACTATATGTAACTTTTCAAGTTTGTTTGTTTGTTCACTGATCTTCTCTTTTCTGAAATTTTTGAGTGCATTTTTTAGATAGTCTTTGTTTTGTGAACTGACAGGTCTTGTTTTGACATTGAAAGGCCCAGGAAGTTCTACCTCTGCTGACATTTCTACAATGAATGCATCCTGACAGTCTTCTGAACCACAGGAGCAGTGTAAAGCACAGTTGTCACAACAATTGTGCTTAGGGATGACATCTTTTGGCCTCTCACCAAATGGTGCAAACAGGGTATTTCTTCTACACTGATTTGTTTTGCAATAATCTTTTATATCTTGGTCACAGTGGTTTGACAGTATTCCATTGTAGAGCAGAATACAAACAGCAGGCATACCATCTTTTCCTCCTCTCCCACTTTCTTGCACATAGCATTCTAGGTTTTTTGCAGGGCCCATGTGGTCAATCTTACATACTTTCTTACAGCTGACACCCATTCCAAAAGCATCTGTTGTAATTAGACAACAGATGTGGCCATCATCATATGACAGGTTTTCTACAATGTGGTTTTTTACAGCAGTTGGATTGCCTTCATGATACATTTCAACCATATGGTTTTTAGGTTGTTTGTTGCCAAGGAACAAGTTTTCACTTAAAAACAATGTCAATGTTCTAAAAATAGGACCGCAATGCGTACTTGGGTCTTATGCTTAGTTTTACTCCTTTCGCTTGGAATGCTGTTTTCAAATGTCAGTACCTGGGAGTTGAATTGCTACAAGTGAGATGGTTGACATAACAAGTAGTTACAATTTTAAGTGGGAAAAGTATGGCAGAATACTGTTTATTTACTTACTTTATCCTCTAATAATAATGATCTATTTAGCTCTTAGTCCTAATAGGACATAACACAACAACAATCTCTCAGTTTAGCCCTATTTTGTGGAATGTCCCATGTGAGTGAGTGAACTCAGCACTGTTTACACATGTCAAGTGAAGTTGTACATGTAGTGTCAAAAGGTTTTGCTGCTGTAATGACTAAGCCTGTTTAAATACATAATAACATTAAAAACTGAGTACCGCAGGGTTGTCATTTGTTTTTTGAGTAGGGGGTTCCATCCGAAATGTAGGCAGATAAGGTTTGCGTGAAAAACATGCCGCAAAGCGGCTGGAAAAATTAAGCGGTCCTTCACCTACCGTGTAGCTAGGCTCTGGAATAATATAAGATCTTCAGACTCTGTCATCGTTTTTAGGAAAATAATTGTTTACCTACTTTTTTCTGATAAATCTATTAATTTGTAAAAAGTAAATCCAACCCATTGTATGTCACTAAGTTTTTAATGCATATTTATTACCTAAGGCCCAGTTCAGACGCCAAACTTTTCATGAGCCGAACTTTATTCGAATTTAGGCTGACCCAAATTAACAAAAGTACGCCTGTTGATTCAGACGTCGAACTTAATTCAGTTTGAACCAAAACAAATTGAAATGTCAGCGGTTTTCAGGCCAGTGTAAACATGGCAGACGACGCTAGAAGACGCGGCAATCGCCCCATATCGAAGGAGTTTCTCTTACGAACAATGATGGAGAGAGCGAAAATTAGGAGGAAAAGGATGCAGACCCTATTTCATTACATGGTGACAAGAAGACGACAGCTGGTAAATGTCTGTTTAGTCACTGTGCTCTTGTTATTGTCTCAAGAAAATGTTTCATCTGAATATAGTCGTTCCTGCCGTCGCTTTGGGAGAAACATGGGATGGTTTAACTGCGTTTGGAATACTTATTCTGAAGAACGTTTCAAGAAAACATTTCGAATTTCACGTGGAACTTTTCATTTTATCCTAAATCGGATCAGGCATGTCCTTCAAAGAGTAACAGTGACCGAAGAACTGATATCACCAGAATGTTGGTTAGCTATTTGCCTTTATTGTCTGGCAAGGGGTGATTATTATTACACAATCGCAGAGATGACTGGACTAGGGGTTTCTACAGTGTGTACAATTGTCAACGAGGTGACAAAGGCAATAGTGGAGAACTTGTGGGAAGAGTGTGTGACCAAACATATGCCCAAGTCAGAGGAAGAGTTTAAGAAGAAAATGTTGGACATGGAGGAACTTTGGCAGTTTCCATGTTGTTGGTCCGCATTAGATGGCTGTCACATCCCCATCAAGTGCCCACCAGGAGGTCTTCAATCATGTAAAGAGTACTATAATTTTAAGAACTTTTATTCAATTGTTATGATGGGGATGGTTGACTCGAACTATAGGTTCATGTGGGGAACTTGTGGGTTTCTAGGAAACTCACATGATGCTATTATTCTCCAGTCAACTCAACTTTGGGCTGACATAAAAGAACATGAGCTGATTCCTAACATTGGGAAGAAAATTGGCGAAGTGCTTGTGCCACCACTAGTGCTTGGAGACTCGGCATTTCCATTTAAAACGTGGCTCATGAAACCCTATAGCAACGCTGTCCTAACCCCAAAACAGAGGTATTACAATTATCGGTTGAGTAGAGCAAGGATGGTGACCGAAGGTTGTTACGGTCAATTGAAAGGAAGATGGTGAGTCCTTCTAAGGAAATGTGAAAGTAGTAAAGAAGAAGTTAAAACGGCAACTCTAGCCTGTGTGGTTCTTCACAATGTGTGCATTGACAGGGGAGAAACCCTCAGCAAAAAGTTAGACTTGTTTGCTAGACCACTTTAGATCACTCTTTTAATCCCTGTGATAATCACATGGACATTAATAATTATTTGTCCTGGCAAAATCCTTTCTTAAAGCAGGTATGGCTCCTTTGTTGATATTATGCAAGACATTAACTTGGACAATGTTTCAGATATTTCCAGGGTGGATTTTGTGATGTTAGAAATGGAAGATGTACATTTCCAAATAACTGTTTATTAGCATAATGTGCCAATGTTGTTTAACATGTTACTATTAAAGTGTTTCTATGAGAAATGATGTTTGTCTTTGAGAGAAAATGGGCTCATTGTTGTGTATACATTGCATTCTCCTTAAGAGCTACACTGATTTATAGTACTCACTGTAGAACTCTTATTGATAACGATGTAATCTCAAGAGACAGTACAGAGTTGTTTCACTTTGTCATAAAGCAGCTTATTAACACAACATATTCATGAACTGTAACATTACTTCCCCTCCTATAGAGTGTACAAACACAGTGTACAAACACTGTGGTTAAGTGGTAAGTATTCGGTTGTACACAAAATTTGTGTATATCAAACGACAAAAAAAATAATTTGTTCTTTACAGTCAATCTGGCAACCAATCAGAGATTAGAAAGTGAAATAATGATACAAATATGAGGATACAATTTCAACTTCCTACGTGTATCCTTGTTTATATAATAATAAATCACATAGAGTGGTAAACAGGACTATCGGCCCTGGTAAGAGTAGATACCTCACCAACAGATTCAGGGCTTGGAGTAGAATAATTAGAATTAACAGGTGTTGGCAGAGAATTTGCAGGAGAAAGGGGTCCAAACTGTTAATTTGAAGGGCCCTGATACATGGAACCAGCACTTTGAATAATTTGGTGAGGAGCTGGTGGATAAGGCAAGTAGAGGCCATCACTATTACAGGCACTTGAGGCAAAACCCACATGTCCTGCTGCAGACACAGGGCTCTGACCCTGAAGTGGTTGCTGGTTTTGAAATGAAAGCATCATTTGCATCAATTTTAACTCATGCTCCCGTGCTTTCTCTATATCATCTTTCATAAAACTTATAAGTTCCTTGGTTGGATCTTTTTCTGCTATTGTTTTCATCAATTTCATAGCTTCACAAATTGGGTCATCCCGATTGCTTTTTCGTTTTGGTTGCTTTACAGGAACAAACATATTCTGACTTTGGTCAACTGATGACGTTTCACTTTCAGAGCTGTCCAAAGTTGGTGTGCTAGTGACGTTTCAGCAAAACTGAGTTGCTGATGGTTCCCTTGCTTGCTCTGGCTGGCAAGAGTCTCTTGTTTTGACTATGTCATAAAGCTTCTGAAACCATGCCCCAAAATTTTTGTCTTCTTGGAATCTTTTAATGCCAGTTCCAGTCTTAATAGTAAGAGCAGCTTTCTTACATTCAGACACACACTTCTTGAACTTTGATCTCAGTTGCTCAATGGTAAAGCAGAAACTCTCATCCCTTGCGACACATCTCTGCTTCAGTTCTTCACGGATTTTCCCATAGATTTCCCCATTCTGTTGAAATTTAGTATTCCTAAATATCAGCTTTGTCTTGTAGTGATCACTGCTCACAATTATATCAATGAAATCATTCAGCAGCTCTTGTGACCACCTGGGCTTTCTTCCTGCTTTTTTTCGCTTGTTCTTTGACTTACTACCATCCTTCTTGTTCTCCTCTTGGTCGTCCTTCTGTTTATCTATATCCAATGGTTCCTCCTCTGAATTTGAGAGACTGTAAGTTTCTTGTAAGCTACTGGAATATGCCAAAACAATTAAAAATTACAATTTGCACATTGTAGTTGCAATATTCTAACTATTTGGCAACAAAAAAACTAAAGCTATTATGAGGAATGCATATTTCTCTGTCGTTGCATTTTGCTTTTAGAACGGGGAATAGAATATTCACTTTGTTTCCTACAATAGCACGACTTGACAATGGGGCGAGGAAACCTGTTTCCTTGCAAACTGCCACACACTGCTACACGGATATCTATAGAATGCCTTCAATAAAACATTACTTGGAATAAAACTGTTACCCAAGGTAGTTGTAAAAGTTAATTCCACACGTACTTTTCTGGGTTGTTGGTCTTGTCTCGCCCATTATTTGCCATTCTTCGTTTTCCGCCATCACAATTCTCTTCCAGCAACTTCTTAGCCTTGAAGCACGGTTCACAATGCCCAACAGATCTTCCTGCCGTCCAGCCAACAGTATCTTCATTGTTTTCGAAAATAGAACACTTGTTACAGATCGACATGCGACATTCAATACAAACATACTTCGTGTTAGCGAAGTAGGAACTACACATGTCTTCGCTGTTATCCGCGAGTGTAGCTCTCCAAGTCGCCATGATGGTAATAAACACGCTTTATGACGCATGCTCTCTTTGAGAAACTGCTTTTACAATACGTTATCATAATTTATGCATTAGGTTCGGCACATGAAAAGTTCGGCGTCTGAATCAAAGCCATTCCAAAGGCGAAATTCCCGGCTGAGCCAGGTGGGAAGAACGGCTGAGCCGGTCCCAATTCAAATAGCCGTTCTTAACTGATTCAGACGCCGAACTTTTCATGTACTTAATTCGACGTATTAGGTTCGGCTCATGAAAAGTTCGGCGTCTGAACTGGACCTTAGTTATTTGGTTATTTTTTTAGTTACAGTCGACTCCCAATAACTCAAACCTTCAGGGGAAATAGTAAAAGGTTCGAGTTATTGGGAGTTCGAGTTATCAAGGGTTAAATTATATAGAAAATGGTCTGAAGGGAAATGAGTCAGCAGGGGGTTTGAGTTAGTGAGGGTTCAAGTTATCAGGAGGCAACTGTATTTTAGTATGATAGTTATGCAGTCTTGTAACCGAAAAATCCTTGTAGGGATTTGCAATAAAGTATGTATCATATTTGTATGTACTGTATCTTTACTGTATTGTAATTGTATTTTGTGCATAAGGAGGCAATAAAAAATACCTCTTCATCTTTTTCTTCTTGGACTTATTTTACAAAGACCACTATTATACAATTGTCTTTTTTAAAAACTTAAAAACCCAGTGGGAATAAAATCTCATCAAGAGCCTAAAAAAGAAATTACCATTTTACTACAGCAGGAGCTTCCTGACACTACAGTCTGAAGCCTTGTCTAGCCGATAAATTTGGGAATTGTACACCAAATTCATAATGGCAGACGACTCGGGAAAGCCTCGGCCCGAGAACATGAAAGCGAGGTGGATGAGGATAAACAAAATTTAGCTTACAGGAGCGTGTGTTGTGTAATTTAAATTGTTGTTGTTCTTAGTGCTTGTTTTCGCTATGAATAGCAATAAATCGCCACAGAATCGGTATTGCTGTGTTCCACTTTGTAGTCAAAAGGGGACCACTGACCCGAATGGCAAGAAAGTTGGATTTTTCAGCATTCCAACCGAAAAATGCTTCAGGGAACAATTGCTACACGCGATATGACGAGATAAACACTTCTCACTTCTCACTTAAACACTTCTTAAACACTTCTCTATAACAGATTCTACAAAAGTCTATTCCCTTCACTTCAAGGAAGAACACCTTAAGAAGAGCCTAGGTATTGGACGGTTAACATACGTTGACGGAGCAGTTCCATCTGTTTTTGCATGGAAGAAGAGCTTGCCTTGGAAGAGACCACCACGACCTAGAGCACCCAGAGAGGATGTGAAAGCTTGAGCGTTGCTTGACATGAGCACAGTTTCCATTTCAAGTCCAGAAGCCCAAGCAAGTATGGATCAAAGTGACTCAAACATCGATCTTTGTTTAGAAACTGATTCAGCATCGACTACCAGTGAAAATGCATCGTGCGTTTCTGAAAACTGCTCGTCCTATGAAGATCTTTGAAAACAGCTGATTGAAATGGAGCGTGCACTCGAAGACAGTAAATCGAAAAATGAGAAACTAGAAGCCGAGGTGGAGAAAGTAAGGGCCAATGCTTTTAACCTTTCAGAGAAGTGTTCAAAATTGGAGAACAGAGTTTTTTCATTAGATAAGTTTATTTCCGATGAAGATATTGCCTTTTACACAGGCTTTCCATCGTATGCTGCTTTTATGGCAACATACACATAATTAAATCCGGGGGAAAGCGGAGAAAACATTCCGTATTGGCGTTCTGTTCAAAATGATGTCGACCCTGAATATTATGAAAGAGAACCTGAACTTGGTGTTGGACCAGGGAGGCCTAGAACATTGAACTCTAAAGAGGAATTCTTCCTTGTAATGTGCAGATTAAGGCAGGGATTTGCAGAGCGCCATCTGGGGCATTTGTACAATGTATCTCAATCTACTGTCAGCAGGATTGTTATTTCATGGGTCAACTTCATGAATTTGAGGTTTGGGCAGTTGAACATATGGCCATCCCGAAAAGTGGGAGATGATACCATGCCTCAAGACTTTCAGAGTAAATACCCAAATACAAGGGCTATTATAGATTGCACTGAAATCGAGTGTGAACAGTGAGTTGTTTAGTTCATACAAAAATCACACAACCCTGAAATGCTTGATTGCAATTTCCCCTGCTGGACATATCTCTTTTATTAGTCAAATTTATACAGGTAGTATATTTGACAGAGAAATTACAGAGAGAAGTGGATTCCTCAACCTTCCTTTTGATGCTAGCGATTCTGTCATGGCTGACACAGGTTTTACCATCCAAGATCTTCTTCCAGTGGGCGTGTCTTTAAACATCCAACCCTTTTTAGGGAGTTATGTTCAGATGCCTGCTGAGGATGTTGTAAAAACACAAGAAATTGCCTCTCTCAGAATTCATGTGGAGAGGGCAATTAACAAAGTTAAGAACTTCCATATTTGGGACAGTATAGTTCCACTCAGCCTATTTGACATTGTAAATCAGATGTGGACTGTATGTGCACATTTATGTA